ATCCAGATAGCGGATGTTACAAAAAATATCAACATTTGATTAATACAGTGTGTACAGATTTACAGTTGGCAGGTACCAAAGTAATAAGCACATAAACTGAGCCGATTATTATAATACGAGTATGTATACATTCTAAGTATTTTTTTCAAATAGCTCCATAGTCCTTTGTTGGTAAAAAGTTCCAGATTTAAAAGACAAATAAATCGTTTTTTCACTACCACTGTTTTTTGGAAAAATTTTTCGAATGTTAAACTGACAGACAATAAAATATGTGTCAGCTCTATGTTAATACCGGTATACTCATGATCTTAGATTAGAGTCATTCCATATGAAATCGTCTAAACAAGAAACACGCACAAAGGATGAAAATAACAAAACGAGCATTACAGACTTTTGAAGTTCATGGTAAGAACTAAATATCCTCTAAGTTTTATATTTTTATCTCGTAGCCAACACATTATTATAGCCTAAATAATGTGATTTTTTAAAATTTCAAAATTTCAAGCAGTGATTTTTTTATAAGGAGTAGGCCGAACGAGTCAATTGTAGGTTTTATTTCTTCCGCGATATGTGCACTTGATCTCTGAAAGATGTTAGCTGTTTGCTTTCAACAGCCGAGACACTGGAGTCAGTTAAAAATCAAGAAAAATCAGTAAAATACACGTATTTTCAACACTGTGTTATTTTTTGGGGGCATTAATTGTGTGAATTTATATTCTTCACACAAAAACTACTATCTTTCAGCTTTAAAATGCCATTTTAAACGTTAAACGTTTAATAGAAAAATTTTGACAGCTAAACATATTAAAGCATAAAAATGACGTTTTTAAATGCTTTAATTCGGGCAGGCGGAAACTGATGTATGCGAAAATTAAATAACGGTGGATTTCCTTCTTTGGAACCCTAAAGAAGATTCTCACAAAGTTTGAGCAAAACCTAAAATAAGCTGGCTTTACTGATTAGACGATTTCATATGGAATGACTCAGCTACTGAGGTATAGATGACAATTATTCATCGGAAAGTAGACCAAAGCTCTCAAAGAATCAAAAGAATAGAATATAATTAATTAAAAGGATTTATTCAAATCAAGCGATATTATTCAACTATCCCGGTCATATCACTGACATTAGTTGTCATCGTTTCATCATAAATAGACTGCGCTGTTACAACGTTTAATTTTAACCATCTCCAGATGATGCCAACTTCGTTGGTGAAACTCGCGTCGCATATACAGCTCAATCTTTTGGTATGTTACACCAAAGGTTCTACTTTAAAAATTAAAGGATTTCGTTTATCTTAAAATGATTGAAAAATTTTGTTATAGAGACCTGACCCTATTCTTTAGTAAAATTTTCCGCTGAAGCCGAAAATGAAAAAAAAAAATTAAGGTGCGGGTTCCCCCATACACCCCAATTCCCCTCAAAAAATTAAAAAAATGCAAACTGGGCGGAAAACCTAGCTATCTTTAGTAAATTTTCCGCTGAAGCCGAAAATGAAAAAAAAGTATCGTGTGAGTTCTCCCCCACACACCCCAATTCCCCTCAAAAATTAAAAAAATGCAAACTGGGCGAAAAAACTTACCTATCTTTAGTAAAATTTTCCGCTGAAGCAAAAAAAAATTCATCGTGTGGATTCCCCCCACACCACAATTATCCCCAAAACTTAAAAAAATGTAAACTGGGCGAAAAAAAATCTGCTTATCTTTAGTAAAATTTTATGCTGAAGCCAAAATACGAAAAAACAAAGCCATGGATGGACAAACTAAAAAGTAAACCTTCAGCAGGCACACTTGACCAGACGAAATTTCCTAAAAAATCAGCAGCCAAAATACTTGAGGGAGTTTTCGAAGGACCACAAATTCGTCTTCTCATGAATGATGATCAGATCAGTTTATTAATCACATGACTAACATCGAGAAAAAAGCGTGGGTTAGTTTCGTAAAGGTCACCGAAAATTTCTTCGGTAATTGCAAATCTCCTAATTACAGTCAGTTAGTAAACGAATTGCTGATAAATTTCAAAAGCAAGTTGAGTTTAAAACTTCATTTTTTAGATTCACATTTGGACTATTTTCCTAAAAACTTGGGCGACTACAGTGAAGAGCTTTGTGAGCGCTTCCACCAGGATTTGAAGACTATGGAACAACGTTATCAGGGACGATGGGATAGCCATAATGGCAGAGTACTGCTGGACTTTAAAAAGAGAGACAGTCAATGCAAACCATAAGAGAAAAAAGTACGAGCCGTTCCTTTGAGGGAAAGAGACTGCGGCCCAAGAAAAAAGAAAGGTTTTGTGAATATCTAAATTTTTATTTAAGCCCGATGAGAGGCACGGTTTATTTTGCCTGTATAAATTTGAGGTTTAGTTTGCCTGTCTGAGGTTTAGTTTGATTTTGCCTGTCCAAGGCTAAGTTTGAGTTTGCATATCTGAACGTCACTGGTTTAGTTTTAGTTTGTCTATCTAAGATTAAATTTGAATTCATGTGTCTAAATTTATGAATCTCTGAGCGTCAGTTCAAGTGTACTGCTACAGGTTTACTTTTTAGTTTGTCTATCCATGGCTTTGTTTTTTCGTATTTCGGCTTCAGCGGAAAATTTTATTAAAGATAGGTAGGTTTTTCGCCCAGTTTTCATTTTTTTTAATTTTTTGGAGAGAATTGGGGTGTGTTGAGGAACACACATCGTAAATTTTTTTTTCATTTTCGACTTCAGCGGAAAATTTTTCTAAAGATAGGTTTTTTCGTCCAGTTTACATTTTTTTATTTTTGGGGTGAATTGGGGTATGTGGGGTTCCCCCCACACGAAAAAAATTTTTTTTTCATTTTCGGCTTCATCGGAAAATTTTACTAAAGAATAGTAGGGTCAGGTCTCTATAACAATAAATTTTTTTTTGTAGACCTGTGTAATTGTTATGTCTTACAGAGCAGTTTAAAGAAATATTTCCTTGTATAAGTTATCGTACTTTCTCACATATTCTTAGCATGCTTTATATTTTATGGACGTATAAAACAATATCTAAATTGTAACATTCTCCAATTTAGTGGGAAATACACACACACAACATAAAGTTTCCTCATGAAATGTACAATTCCAGCGATACAGTTATTACCAATCGTCCAGTTTATGTGAGCTATAAAAATACTATAAACTTTACTTATTTTGCCCAACAAAAGCAGATACAACTCCCGCGACATTTATCTTAATGTCTTTTGTCAGGTTTTAGAATTTCAATTAGTTAAAAATAAACTTTTTGAGATAGGTACTTACATTTCAACAGACAACTAAACTACTGTTTAGCAGACATAAAATTGCATTCTGTTACTCTACAGCTTCCTCCAAAAAGTATTGAGGAAATGGGGAATATTTGTATATTAATGTCTGATAAGGTTGTACCCTTATCAGACATTAATATAGCAGACATGATCTTTAAAGAAAGTAATGATTTCGAATTGAAAAAAAATGCATAAATTGTAATAAACGAATGTGAGGTTATGGGAATTATTTGATGCATCATCTCCGTCTAATGTATGGCCAATCTACTCTAAGTTGTGTGAAGTTATGTGGAAAAGGTCCATTTCAGGAATATCTGATCCAAATAATTCAAAAAACACCTAGAAACCGGATAGATAATAATAAAAATTATAATAATAATAATAATCGACTTTATTTGAGTATACATATATGTATATTATACAATATACACACATATAAACTTATATAAGATGTTGGGGTGTGTGCGGCGAAGTTTAGCCAGTGGGCTACTCTTACACTTAACCGCCAAAGATATATATATATATATATATATATATATATATATATATATATATATATATATATATATATATATATATATATATATATATATATATATATATATATATATATATATATATATATATATATATATATATATATATATATATATATATATATATATATATATATATATATATATATATATATATATATATATATATATATATATATATATATATATATATATATATATATATATATATATATATATATATATATATATATATATATATATATATACATATATAATGTGTGAGGTTACTTAACATAATTAAAAAATTAATATGTTTTGCTTTTTACTGTGTATATAAAAAAAACATAATTACATTGACAATGTACAAACATAATTATACCAGTATACACAAATTTTGTTATACTCCGAATATGATAATCATGTTATGATGTAGCGTTAATATAAACAAATACACATATGAAAATATTATACACGAAAATGGCCTTTTAAAATATGACCCCCATATGTGTGTACATTTTCCCCCGTTCCACTGGGATAATTATACAAACACAACATTTGGGTTGTAATTAATTTGATCTTGATTAAATAGATCCTAAACCCTTTTAACAAAACTTGCAGTTGGGTTGTACAAAATCTCCTAAAATAACAAATTGATCTTTTTACGCTTCGCCATGTAAAAACATTAGGAGGGATCAAAAAACGAGGCGAAACCAAACAAAACTAAAAACTAAATTTCCCAGGCTTAAAGTACAGATAATAACAATGTGCGTCCGCTCACATACTGATATAAATTTTCCTTCACGAGAAAATACCATGCTACACTGACTTTTCACGATAACATATGATAAATGGAGAATTTAATTGGTCACATCGACTCTCTCTCTTTTCATTGCATATTTATATTTAATTTCCGTCTTCCTCCTGAATGATTAATGTCCACGGTTTCATATTTATTTCAAGTTTATAATTTTTAGGTGATTTCGCTTTTTAAAGGATAATTTTATTTCCCCTCATCTTTCTATCGAGTTTTCCGTGTATTAATATTCATAAAACGTAGTGACAATCCATGTGAATAGGCGCGGGAATGCTAGTAGAAGTTATATATTTAGCTTACCTTTACGTTGTAGATTAGACATAAATTTATGACGTAACGACATTTTTTTCGTGGTTTCGATTATAGATATTTCTAATCTTGTTAGATATGTTATAATGGCTCTGTGGTCGAGTGGTAAGGACACTGGCCTCTCATCTAAGAGTTTCGGGTTCGATCTCCCGTCGAGGAGCTGGGACTTTTTCTAAGGCAGACCATGATCTTAACATACTTGCATATTGGGTGTGTGTCAATTGTCACTAAATGTGTAACCCCCTCCAACTCAAAATACTTTGAATCCGGCACGGCCGACGCGGCAATATCAAAACAGCGAGAACTATCGCTTTGTCAGAACTATAGACCAATATCCATAATTACAAATTTCGCAAAAATTTTCGAAAAAATACTCAAATCTCGTCTAGACAGCTATATAAAGAAAAAATCAATTAATATCTTCTAAGCAATATGGTTTTCAGAAAGGTATATCAACTCAAGATACCATTAGTCTCCTCACAAATAATATATACCGTACAATGGACAAGGGTTTACCATCATTGGCTATATTTCTAGACCTGGCTAAAGCCTTTGATACCGTTAGTTTTCCACTATTATTAAACACCTTGGAAAATATAGGCATTAGAGGCAATTCATTAAGTCTATTGAGCAGTTATATTATCGATAGAAAACAATGCGTCGAAATAAACGGAATAAAAAGTGACTTTCAAAGAGTAAAATACGGAGTTCCGCAAGGAACAGTGTTGGGACCTCTGCTTTTTGTATTATATATAAATGACCTGTTTTCGATGGAATCTTGTGGAGATATTCTCACTTTCGCAGACGACACAGTTATTTATTATGTTGACCAAACCTGGGAGCGCTTAAAAACTAAAGCAGAAAATGAATCCTCACTCTAAATTTTGATAAAACTTTCTTTCTTCCATTCGCGTCTTATAAAAATTCTTTACCCGAATTTGAAACGTTAAAGATTACGGATAGGGATAATTCACTAACAATATACAAAGCCGAAACAATTAAGTACCTTGGTATTTATATAGATAGCCACTTAAAATGGGATTCTCACATAAATTATATAGTGAAAAAATTAAGATCCTTAATTCCAATTTTTAAACATCTTAAAGATATTCTACCGAAAGATGACATATTAACTATTTATTACGCTCTAGTCGAGTCCCACATAAATTATGGGATACTTGGCTGGGGTGGAGTAAATAAAACCACTTTAAATTATCTGGAGTTAACTCAGAAAAGAATTATAAAAATAATGTTCAAAAAAGATATTTTATTCCCTACCGACGAATTATACAACGAAACAGGACTTTTCGATGCAAGAAAGCTTTTTTATTACGCAATCTGCGTGAACCAGTATAAAAATAAAGATCATCTAATTGATATACCACACAATTATTTTACGCGACAAAATTCTGAATGTTACAAAGTTGAGTTTATGAGGAAAACTATTGGCCAAAGAAATTTTACATATTAAGTCCAAAAATTTACTCAACGTTACCTTATGATGTCAAAACTGCAAAGTCGTTAAATATCTTTAAAACTCGATGCAAAAATTATATAAGTCAACGACCCAGAGTCGACATTCACAAGCAAATTGATTTGAAAAACAACTAAAAAATTACATTGCTGTATGTTCACCTTTTTATATATAAGTAGTAGTCTGTTAAATTGTTGCATATTATTTTATTGTCTTAATATGTGTAATTTATGCTCTTATTCTTATTTTATTCATAATAGTAATCTTGTCATTATATTATATGTATCTTTTAGTATTAGTCAACTTATATACTTAGTCATTTTTTTTTCATTTATTTTTCACGTCCTTCAATGCTATGTATAAATGTTTATAAATAATTTATATACTCTCCCACGCACAAATATCTGCTCAGATATTTATTGTGGTGTATTTATGTTTATTTTAAACTATGTTCTATTACGCACCTCTACATTTCTGTGTTGTATTACTATTTATAAATAAACATTATTATTATTATTATTATTATTATATCCTATATGAGCGGCGACTAACGGTTCTCACTGTTTCGATATTGCCGCGTCTGCCGCCGTCGACCGCTATTACCGCCCACCTAGGACAACGAGTTATCTGTACTACCATATAAGAGATGAGCCATATGCTTCTTGAATCTGGTTTGAATTGATCGAATAGTTTGTCCGACATACTTTTGATTACAGTCCGTACAGCTCATTTTGTAAATCCCCGACTTTCACTTCAATTTTGTCTTTTGGTTTACCTAACAGCTGTTATAGTTTATTTCTCGAACCGTCATACGTATATCTTAGAAAATCTAACCACCATCACGGGTGAATCGAGGATCGTATGGAGTCGACACAAATTTCGGATTGTCTCTTTCAATTTGAAAAGATCGACGAATTTCGAAGAAACTGGCTGTAAGAAAAACAAAAATTATGTTGGACAAACTAGACGATCAATTGAAACTAGATTCAAGAAGCATATAGCTCATCTTCAATACGATGGAACAGATACGTCTAGTGTTGTTCAACATGCGTCTGAGAACGAAACGAAAAATAATTTGAACAGTGACAGATGGCCGAATCGTAACAATACTTCAGGTACATTGTTAGCATAATGTTAGTTTTAAATAACTCCTGATGATGCCAACTTGATTGGCGAAATGCTCGTCAAGTGCAGTATATGGCGTTATGTGGAAAACAATGTCAGTGCTAGCTTCATATCAATGGGACCAACATAATTCAGGATTAACAAAGATAATGGTATAGTAAAATACTAAGGTAATTCAATAAAGATATATTCACAAATAGTAATAAATACTAAAAATTATACCATAAAGTACAAAGTCGAAATACTCTTACTTTATTTGATATTTCCTTTTTTAGGTATAGGATATAGTCCTTTTTTAGTTTTATTATTTTTGCCTATATCTATAACGAGGCTTTTCGGCTTATTATTTTAATTTCATAAGGCATAAATGATTAGCGAAAATAAAACAAATCTAAAGACAAATACATATATCTACAATTGGCATGAAATGTGGCTCTCCCCGGGCAGAGAAGCAGAAGAAAGAAGGAAAACGGGTAACTATGTCAATCAGTCTCAGTACGTACAGTCTGATATTAATGGAAAGAAATTCAATTGTCTCTATGCTTAAAGTTTATATTCACTGGACGATTTTCAAATAAATAATCGTTAAACTAACTGCTTGCTCTGGCTGGCATGTCTAGCCGCCACAGGCAAAACCTGCTGATATTACTAGGTACTTATTGTATGGTTTCGTTTAAAATGGCCTTACCGGGGATCTGCACAGCTTCCACATTATACTCCTTACTCACAGACTAACTTTTACTGGAGCAATTTCTCAGGGTCGGTGCACCAAGTTATACCTATCCTGGGCTCGGGAAAACACCACAACCTCGTACGCACAGCAGATCGAATTCTCTTCAGCCAACAGAACCTCTCCTTAGCTCGTCGCTCAGCTTAGTCTCCATAAACACGGTAAGATAACGTACGTAAACATACAGAACAAGGATAGCGGCATAAACATGCACATGAAGGTAAATAACGCATTTAACATAACTCCAGGTCCACACATGACCGTGGATCGACCGCAATTGTCCTTTCGCGCCAGAAACAACCCGAGACGTGCAAGTGGATAGAAAATTTTGTCCGATATTAACATTTATTCGCTATCTCTATTTAATATAAGAATAGTCAAATATAGCTGTCCTAGTCCGATAAAATGGAAGGTGAAAGTAGAGGGTAGCACTTGCACTGCTGTCATTTCTGTTCTATCTCGCGCTTTTTTTGTGGTATTTATCTGTCAACTTGAACTGACGAAAGAAATGTTTGTTATTTTGTCGTGATTTTGATTATTTCTCGTTGTATTTTGTGATATTTGTGTGTTAAAGACTATTTTTCTTCTTAAAGACTACCAATTTCATATAACTGGTAAGTTATAAAATTATAAATAATTTTATCCGCTATATCTAACCTATATATTAATCAGAAAGGATAAACAGTATTAAAGAATGTGCTAACTGTATCCTTTACCTATTTCATTCCTCATAATAAACATTGAAATTTGTTGTAGGTTATTTTTTGTTTGAGATGGCTACAGAGTCTCGAATTAGATTGTATTATGTGTGTGGTTCTTCGGAGGACGATGTGGCAAAACTTCATTATTTTCCTTCAAGGTTGGAAAGGTAAATTAAGGCGTGCACTAAATTAACAACACTTCTAATAGCACAGTTTTTTATGTTTTACAGGTAAAAAATTTGGCAAGAGAATATGGGTATACATTAAACTGAAGAAACTTTTCAAAATTATAGGATATAAT